AAGAGGTAGAATCAGCAGTTGGAAAATATGACCATGATCAATAGAAATGATGTTGAAGATCACACGAGAAAATTTGCAAGACCAGTAGCTTCTTCATTCTAAATGCCTTTTCAGCAATATAAATGGTGACTATACATATGCACCTGGTTGGAGTACACAGGAATCAAATTGACTACATTTGTTGGAAGAGATGATAGAGAAACTCAATATCATCAGCCAAAACAAGACCAACAGCCAACTGTGGAACAGACCATCAATTGCTCATATGCAAATTCAGGTTGAAGCTAAAGAACATGAAAACAAGTTCATGAGAGCTAAAATAGGATCTTACCTGAATTTAAAAATAAATATATCCTACTTGAATGAGGCTTTCTACTCCCGTAAGGATTTACACCCTCGGAAACCCTGTACAGGGTTGCTATGGGTCAGAACCAACTCGAAGGCACTTAACAACAACAACAACAACCTGAATTTAAATCAAGAACAGATTTGACATGCTGAACAGTAATGATCGAAGACCTGAGGAGTTGTGGGATGATGTCCAGAACATCATATATGTAGAAAGCCAAAGCTACTGAGGACAATAAGACTTTGTTTCACATACTTTGGCCACATTGTAAGGAGGAATCATTTCGTGGTAAACGACAGCAAGCTTGATAAATAAAGAGGGTCAGTGAAGGAAAGGAAGAGCCCCAACAAGATGGATTGACATAGCAACAGCAACAATGCACTCAACCATAACGACAACTGTGAGAATGGTGCAGAACTAGGCCGTGTTTCATTCTGTTGTGCATAGAGTTGCTATTCGTTTGAGCAAACTTGATGATACCTAACAACAACATGAAGAAATACATACACTTGTAAATGTTTGAGGTCTTGTCATTGGGAAATAGGGTAACTGGTAGATTGTTGGACATCCTACTAAATAATTCAAAAAATTAAAAATCAGATCTCAAAACTAAACTCACTACCATCAAGTCAATTTCAACTCCCACAGATCCTGCATGGGTTTTTCAAGGCTGTACATCTTTGGTGGTAGTAGTTATGTGCCGTGGAGTCGGTTCCGACTCATAGAGACCCTGAACAGGGTTTCTGAGGCTGTAAATCTTTATGGGAGCAGAAACCCTCATCTTTCTCCCAAGGAACAGCTGGTAGTTTCAAACTGCTGACCTTAAGGTTCACAGCCCAATTCGTAACCACTATGCTACCAGAGCTCCTTAGGGGAGCTTGAACTGTTGACCTTGTGGTTAGCAGTTCAGTATTATCCTCCAGGGCCACCACTACTCCTAAAAATTGTCTCTGTTTGTTGTTAAGTGCCATCAGTCGATTTTGACTCGTTGAGAGATCCTGTATAGGATTTCTGAGGCTATTATAATCTTTTAGGGGACAGAAAGCCTCATCTTTCTCTCACTGAGTAGCTGGTGGATTCAAACTGCAGACCTTGTGATTAATAATAGTTCAATGCATAACCCACTATGCTACCAGGGCTCTTTCAATGATTACTACTTTATTTTAAAGCATTATTAGTGAAAAAAATAAAGCTATGATTTATTGTATTTTAGTGTCCCCACTGTAAAAGGTCTTTTAATGCCAATAATTACTGAAATGATTAAAAATAACCCAAAATATAGTTTTGCATGTTGTTGGTTTTAGGTGCTGTCAAGTTGGTTCTGACTCACAGTGACCCTGAGCACAACCAAATGAAACACTGCCTTGTGCCATCCCACAATTCTTACATTTGAGCCCACTAGTTTTTTAGGGAGTCATGGTGTGGTGCTGTAGGATAAGCACTGGATCTCAAAGTTGGTTTGAATTGCAAGGTAGTGGTTCAAACTCACCAGCTGCTCCTCGGAAAATCTATACAGGGTTATTGTAAGTCTGAACCAACTCAACAGCACCTAACAACAAAAAACAGTTTTGCATAGGTCATACTATTATTACCTATTTATTAGTTGCCTAGTGGCCAAGGTACCTCTTGGTGGGTTCAAATCAGCAACCTTGTAAATTAATAGTCTTGTTGTTGTGTGACTCATAGTGACCCTATGCAATTCTCAAAATTGTTCCATTTGAGCCCGTTGTTACTGCCACTGTGTCAATCTATCTTGTTGAGGGTCTTCCTTTTTGCTGACGTTTCTCTTTACCAAGCATGATGTTCTGTTTCAGGGAATTATCTCTCCTGATAACATGTCCAAAGTATGAGAGATAAACTCTCACCATCCTTTCTTCTAAGGAGTATTCTGGCTGTACTTCCTCCAAGACAGATTTGTTAGTTCATCTGGCTAGTTAGTTCATGGTACTTTCAATATTCCTCATCAATACCATAATTCAAATGCATCAATTCTTCTATGTTCTTACTCTATGCACCTTTAGGTACAATCAAGTTAGGGGTAAGCATGTGACTAAAACTCCGCCAATCAGACATTCCTATGAGAATTTCGGTTAAAAAAGAAGCACTGAGAAAACTGTATAAACAATTTTACTGAGGGTGATGGAAAACATTCAACTTTGAAGGGCCCCAGTTGCAAAGATCTTAGAAATGCTATCTTCTGCTCAACATCAAAGTTATAAACTGTTGTCTGTGATTATAGCATGGGCTCCAGTGGAAGAGTTTTGGGCTGTAACTGGGGTGAATCCTTAACTAGATAGCTCTCAAGCCAGATTCTCTCTCTGGCATTCTAAGTGATGCTGTGAGCTAACCAATGGCCCTTAGTAAATGTTTTTGTTTTTTTTTTTAGTTGAAATAGCTACACTAATTATTAGCAAACCAAACTTAGAATCTAGTCATGCTTTGTTAAAATACCATTTTCATTTTGTTTCTTTTATAGTGAATCAAATTTGATAAAACATTCACAAATTTAAAATTGATGCAAAGGAATCTCCAGTGTTGGGGTGTTGCTATTGTTAAGTGCCATCAAGTTGGTTCTGAATCATAGTGACCATGCATAAGGTTTCTGAGATGGTTGGTGTGGTTTTAATTGCTGACATTGTGGTTAGCATACAACAGGGCCCAATGTTGGGGTAGTGGTTCTTAATGAACATTAAGAATTTGTTGTTGTTGTTAAGTGCCATTGAGTTGGTTCCAACTCATAGCAACCCCATGTAGGGTTTCCAAGGAATGGCTGTTGAATTTGAACCACCAACCTGGCAGTCCAGTGCTTATCCTACAGCACCACACCAGAACTTAACAACAACAGCAGCAAATTTTAAAAAGAGGCCTGGTGATGCTGTGGGCTAAATAGGGCTGCTGACCGAAAGGCTGGCGATTCAAACCTACCAGCCGCTCCATAGGTTTACAGTCTCAGAAATCCTAAGGAGCAGTTCTGCTCTCTTCTATATAGAGTCTGTGTGAGTCGGCATCAACTCATAGAATCAAACTCAATGGAGTGGGTTTTTTAGTTGTCATATTAAAGAGTGAAACCAAAAGGCAAGAAGGATTTATCAAAGATTCTGGTCACTAGAATATATGTTGCTATTGTTAGTTGTCATCTAGTCTTCTAGATGTAAAGCCCATGTGTGCAGAGTAGAACTGCTCATGTGACCTTTTAGAAGCAGATTGCCAGACCTATCTCCCAAGGTACATCTGGATGGGCTTGAAATGACAACATTCCAGCTAGTAGTTGAGCACTTATCTGTATCACCCAGGGAATACTTACAAGTAATATTAATATACATATTTACTAAGCAATAGTAGGTATTTTTATTACCATTTGAGAAACTGCTGTCTTTGGTGCATCAATGCTGATAATCTTGACATTTGGTTTTTTCAATTCATCCTCAAAACACAAGGGGAGCAAAGTTTTCTTGCTGACTACATGCTCACTTAATTGATAGTTTCTGGTTGATTCACTTTTTTTTATACTAAAATCATTCATCTGTGAGGGAGATTTGTTTCTGAAAAAGAACACAAGTTCAGCTTAATTAAAAAAAATTTTTTTAAAGCTTTTATTTTGAATTGACTGTTAGTTTACATGGCAGAAGATCGGTTTTACAATCAACCAATTGTACTTTGTTTCATTGCAATGATTACAATCCCCTCCATGCACCATCAGTTAACAGTACTTGCCTCTATCTCCACCCCCCCTTGTTTTTGGATGTACACAAAAACACACAGGAATGTACAATTGTTTAAACAACCAAAGGGCACATTTTGCAAGGCAGTCTCCTGCCTGCTAGCACATAGCCTTTCTCTTTCTATGGGTCTAGAGTCTTAAAGGTTTGTTTTAAAAATCAATTTTATTTATTTTGTTAATGTTGAGAATACGTACAGCAAAGGATACAGCAGTTCGATATTTTCTACATGCACAATTCATTGGCATTGATTAAATTCTTTGAGTTGTCAGCATAAATGTTTTTAGAGAACTATTTTTAGTTTGTTAGTTCTTGCCTATATTCTCCAGTCTCTATCAGTCTCTAACAATCAACATAGACTTTCAATTTGATGAGACCACCCTTTCTGCTTTTGGGGAAAATAGCAAAAAAGGAGGAGAGGGAACAAGACAGGCGTGTGTCACTTTGGCTTTTCAGTGGGAGGAAGTGAACAGAACACCACAAGTAGAATAGAGAGATATTTGCCACCTCCTTTGTTGAAATGCTGCAAGAAAACTACTTTCAGAGCAATTTCTGGCCATTATAAAATGGGCCTAGTTAAGAGGATGGATTGGTGTGGCCAGTCAGAGAGAGAGAGAGAAAGTATATTTTCATTCTAGATTTACATTCTAGATTCCTTGATTCACATGTGACGTGGACACTCAGTTTAGGCTTACCAAGGTAATTGCCACTGTAGGGGTGAAGTAACCTATAGTAAAGGCTTGAGTAGGAAGTAAGGAAAAAGAAGGATATGACAGCAAATCCAAGCATTTTACCACAAGAATGAGAACTGAGTGTAGATCCTGTCTAAGTGCTGAGAGAATAAAAATAGACCATCAGTTCAGGATTCATAGATGTTAGTAGTCAAAGAACATCTGGAGATGGGACCTATCATACAAGAGCATTGACCAGGACCCTTGGTCAAGTCCCATTTTCCTTTACTATCATAAATTTAAGTGAACTCCTTATTCTTCAATGCTATCTTAGAAAGAAATAGAGGGTCTGTATTAAACCTAATTTGGTTCAATCTTGGAAACCCTATACAGGGTCGTTATGGTTGGGAATCAACTCAACAGCACTTAACAACAACAACATTAAACCTAAAGGGGTTGTACATTATTTGTTCCAAAAGACTTTTAAATACCTAAATTAATTATTTTTTTAAATTACTCACAAAGGCGGAGAAAGAACAGAATTTTATGCAGATGAAGGGGCTATTTCATTTTTTGCACTCATGTTATAGTGTGACTAAATTTGTGTTCCTACTGCAGAAACATAATTGTATTCTCATTGATTTTTATCACATCATTTTATCTATTAAATTGTGAACTTACAGTAATAAATAAAGCATGTGCTTAAAGTCTGAATGTAATACCAACCAGCCAAGCAGTCTTGGAACAGTCATAGGACTGTTGTAATGGGACTAAACAGTAATAATACGCCGTGGCAAATTCATTCTGGCCCACTAGCTAATAAAAAGTAGAACTAATTCTATTAGAAACATTATTGCACAGAATAAAAAAGTAATTTTAAATTACCTTTTATTTAAATCATCTTCTAAATGGTCAACAGGATGAAATTCCACAATAGTTTTATTTTTTGTTTGATCTGAAATTATAAAAGATTTCCATAAAATAGACATACATTATGGCATTAAAAATCTTATATAAAATATTTTAGATTTTAAAATTGGAATGTGGCACCTAGTATAGACCCTGACGCATGTGTGATAGTTAAGGTTTACCAGTTGTAATAATTCCTTATGGTAAGATAGTGTAATGTAATCACTTTCTTCGTAATGTGATCTGACATGACAAACCCTATTCTAATGGATTCAGAAGAGGCTTTGGAATGAGGGATATCATTGCTGATGTCTGATGGATCTTGGCTGAAAGCAGAGAATATCAGAAAGATGTTTACCTGTGCTTTATTGACTATGCAAAGGCTTTCGATTGTGTGGATCATGACAAGCTATGGATAACATTGCGAAGTATGAGTATTCTGGAACACTTAATTAATTGTTCTCATGAGGAATCTGTACATGGACCAAGAGGCAGTTGTTCGAACAGAACATGGGAACACTGAATGGTTTAAAATTAAGAAAGGTGTGTGACAAGGTTGTATTCTTTCACCATATTTATTCAACCTGTGTGCTGAGCAAATAATCTGAGAAGCTGGGTTCTATGAAGAAAAACGTTGCATCAGGATTGGAGGAAGACTCATTAACAACCTGCGATATGCAGATGATACAACCTTGCTTGCTGAAAGTGAAGAGGACTTAAAATATTTACTGATGAAGATCAAACAGCACAGCCTTTGGTATGGATTGCATTTCAATGTAAAGAAAACAAAAATCTTCATCACTGGAACAATAAACAACATTCTTATCAATGGAGAAAAGATTGTAGTTGTCAAGGACTTCATTCTTCTTGGATCAACGATCAACACTCATGGAAGCAGCAGTCAATAATTCAAAGGACGTATTGCATCAGGCAAATCTGCTGTACAAGACCTTTTTAAAGTGTTGAAGAGCAAAGATGTCAGCTTGAAGACTAAGGTGTGCCTGACCTAAGCCATGGTATTTTCAATAATCTCATATGCATGCGAAAGCTGGTAGTGAATAAGGAAGACTGTAGAAGAATTGATGCTTTTGGTGTTACAGTGTTGGAGGAGAATATTGAAAATACCATGGGCTTTCAAAAGAACCAACAAATCTGTGTTGGAAGAAGTGCAGCCAGAGTTGCTCCTTGGAGGCCAGGATGGCCAAACTTCATCTCTCATACTTCGGACATATTGTCACAAGGGACCAGTTGCTGGAGAAGTTTATCATGTTTGATAAGGTAGAGGGTCAGAGAAAAAGAGGAAGACCCCAGCGAGAAGGACTGGCAAAGTGGCAACATCAATGGGCTCAAGCATGTCAACAATTTTAAGGTTGACCCAGGATTGGGCAATGTTCCATTCTGTTGTGCATAGGGTCGTTATGAGTCGGTACTGACGACTTGATGGCATCTAACAACAACAATCTGATGGAATTATCCTATATGTTGTAAATCCTCACTTCTAAGGAGTTCTGGTAGCGTAGTGGTTACGAATCGGGCTGCGAACCTTAAGGACAGCAGTTCGAAATTACCAGCCGCTCTGTGGGAGAAAGATGAGGCGTTCTGCTCCCATAAAGATTTACATCCTCGGAAACCCTGTGCAGGGTCGCTATGGGTCAGAACCGACTCAATGGCACTTAACAACAACAACATGATGTTAATGGGAGTCCTGATGCGGTACTGTAGGATAAGCACTAGGCTGCAAGGTTAGTTGGAACAACAATGTCCAGTTGAAATCTACCAGCCACTCCTAGAAAACCCTGTACAGGGTCACTATGAGTCAATACTGACTCAACTACACTTAACAACAACAACATGATGTTAATGAGGTCAGATTCAATCTACAGGATTAGGTTGTATTTTGAGTTAATTTCTTTTGAAATATAAAGATTATGAGAAGTGAGCAAATAAACATAAAACTTCTGCCACCAAGAAAGAAGAGTGAAGAATGGAATGCATCCTTTGGACCTGGATCCCTACACTATGAAGATCCAGGGAAAGACTGATGCGAAGACACATGGAAATCTCCAAGGAATGCTGGACCTACAGATGCTGAAAGAGACAAGGATGTTTGGACTTCCAGCCTCCTAGAAGGTTGCACACAACCTCCACTTGTCTGTCAGTTTGCTGTACTGTGGTAGTTTGTGTGTTTCTGTGATGCTGGAAGTTACACCAGCAGTATTTTAAATACCAGAAGAGTATACCTATGGTGGACATGTTTCAGCTGAGCTACCAGACTAGGAAGAAAGAAAGGCTTCTGAATGTTTAACCACTGAACACCTTATCAATAGCAGTGGAACACTGTCAGCATCAGAATATTAGAAGTATGATGAATAGCACCAAAATATTGTCATATATAGTGCTAGATGATGCGCTCCTCAAGTTGGAAGGCATTCAAAATACGACTGGGGAAGAACTACCTCTTCAAAGTAGAGTATTGAGATGATGCAAATGGAATAAAGCTTTCAGGACCTTCATTTGCTGATGGGGCACAATTCAAAATGAGGAGAAACAGCTGTAAACATCCATTAATAATAGGAACATGGAATGTATGAAGTATGAATCTAGGAAAACTGGAAGTTGTCAAGAAGGAAATGGAACATATAAAGATTGATATCCTAGGCATTAGTGAGCTGAAATGACCATTTTGAATTTGGCAATCATATGGTTTATTATGATGGGAATGACAAATTGAAGAGGAATGGTGTCATATTCAACATAAAAAAGAACATTTCAAGATCTATCTTAGATATAATGCTGTCTGTGACAGGATGATATCTATCTACCTACAAGGAAGATCAGTGAATACCACAATTATTCAAATTTATGCACCAACCACTAAAACAAGCGATGATGAAATTGAAGAATTCTGCTAATTTTTCCAGTACGATGTTAATCAAATATACAGTCAAAATGTACTGATAATTACTGGTGATTAGAATGCGAAGTTTGGAAACAAAGTGGAAGGATCAGTAGTTGAAAAACATGACTTTGGTGATATAAATGATGCTGGAGAATGCATGATAGAATTTTGCAAGCCCAATGACTTATTCATTGCAAATACCTTTTGTAAACAATGTAAAAGATGACTATACATATGTACCTCACCACATGGAACACACTGAATTAAAACTGGTGTCATCTGTGGGAAGAGACAGTGGAAAAGTTCTATATCATCAACAAAAACAAGGCCAGGGTAGACTGTGGAAATTGCTCAAATGCAATTCAGACTGGAGCTGAAGAAAATTAAAACCAGTGCACGAGAGCCAAAATTTAACCTTGAACATATCCCACTTGAATTGAAAAAATATCAGAAGAACAAATATGCTACATTAGACACTAATGACTGAAGACCAGCATGGTTGTGGGGTTACATCAAGAACATCCAGGAAGAAATCAAAAGGTCATTAAGAAGAAAAGAAAGAAGTAAAAGACCAAAACGGGTGTCAAAAGAGACTCTGACACTTGCTCTCCAGCGTAAAGATGCTAAGGCAAATGTAAGAAATGAGGAAGTAAAACTGCTGAACAGAAAATTTCAAAGGATAGCTCAAGAAGACAAAATTAAGTATTTTAACAAAATGTGCAAAGACCTGGAGGGAAGAACAAACATTTCTCAAGTTGAAGGAACTGAAGAAATAATTCAAACCTTGACTTGCAATACTGAAGGATTCTTTGGGCAAAATATTGTATGATGCAGAAAGCATCAAAAAAAGATGTAGGGAATACACAGATACTGTATCAAAAAGAAATAATGTTGAACCATTTCAAGAGGTAGCATATGACCAAGAGCCAAAGATACAGAAGGACAAAGTCTAAGGTATACTAAAGGCATTGGTGTAGAACAGGCTCAGGAATTGATTAAATACAAACTGAAATCTTTCAACAAACTGATGTGGTACTGAACGCACAATTCCAATCCAAATTCCAACATCATTCTTTAAGGAGATGGAAAAAACTACTGATCTGTGGTTCTCAGTCCAGTGTTGACCATACAGCACCACATCAGGAGTAGTTATCCTCATAATGAGACCTAATATAATGTCGCTAACTCTATGATGAGGTCTTCTATGAGCAGCCAATCAATTGAAAGCCTGTTTCTTTGGGCGTGTGACCTGCTTCCAATGTATCAAACACTCATGTAAAGCTTACTTGCTCTCTGCTGCATCTGGATCTTGTCCTCCAATCTCTGGTTCTTTGGACTTGAACCAGTGGCCTGCTCTTTTATCTGCCTGACTGCTGCCTGCTGGACCTGTCTAAATGCCTGCTGTCTGACCTGCTGATCTTGGTTCATCTGACCTGGACTTGGGACTCTCCTACCTCTGTATCTATGCAAGCCATTTCCTGAATATAAGCATCTCTTTATGTGTACATATACGTTTCACTGGGTTTGCTTCTCTAGAAAACCCAGTCTAAGACATAGGTGTCAAAGATCTTGCCACATGGAATGAAGAAAGTGTACCAAGATGGCACTCTTCCAAATTATGTCTGGTGACTACTCTCCTGTTCCACAAGCGTTCCTAGAAATGATTAATCCAATGGTCTAATGGGCCATATGAACCTGAACACTAGTCTCCACAATCTTGAGACCTGAAGAACTAGATGGTGCCCATCTACCACTACCAACTACTTTGAAAGAGATCACATTAGAAGGCCCTGGATAGAATGGAACAAAACTCAAAATGAGAAAAAAACTGGGTTTGCTAGTCAGAAAGAGATTGATGGAATATAAGACTATGACCCTTGGTCACCCTTCAAGTCTGGAATTGAACTCATCCTAATGGCTCAATTTTCAGCTAAGGAATAGGTAAGTATATTGTTGCTGTTTGCTGTTAAGTGCCTCTGAGTTGGTTCTGACTCATAGAGATCCTGTTTAGGGTTTCCGAGGAGTGGCTGGTGAACCACCAGGTCGGTGGTTCAAACTGTCCTTGTATATATTAGAACAATAACACTAGTGAAGTATATATACATACCATAAGATGATCAACCATTTGAGATCAAAAGGCAGCATTT